TTGCTGAGAGGCCTAATGATGCTAATAAGGCAGAACAGTGTTGAAACTAACAAATGTTTGAGTCTGTAATAAAAGTATTAATACAACCTTTGTTAATAAAATTGTTAAAGGATTTGATGCTTTTAGTTATAACTAAATTCTTTGTTATACAAAACCAAGGGAAAACAGCAATTTTATTTTTTTTCCTTCATTACTGTTTAGGAAATGTGAAGATTGTCACAGTCTGTTTTAGATAAATGGTGAGTGGGGTGTTTTTATTCGCAATACTTCTGACACAAAATGTGTGGGATTTTTCCACACCAACAAGAAATTCTCTGTTTAGACACCAACTGGATGTCCTACAACTCAATACAATCCTGACATTGTCTACCCTGAGATAATGACAGATCCTACAAGGACTCAGTCCCCCAGACTGCCCCCATATCACATCAGACACCACTTGCTAGTCCTGGGGGGAACCATCCATACTTCTGACAAGATACAAAATGGGGGTTCCCAACACCCCCTCCTCAGGTTTGACAATTTGCTAGAATGGTTCACAGAACTCAGGAAAATACTTATGTCTAGCAGTTTATTAGAAAGGATACAACTCGGGAATAACCAAATAGAAGAGATGCACAGGGCAAGACATGGGAGGCAGGAGTGTGGCACTTCCATGACCTCTCCAGGCACGCCCCACTCCCAGGGCCTCGATGTGTTCACTAACCTGGAAGCTCATCAAATCTTGATTTTCTACGAGTGCAGTCTCTAGGCCTTCCCCTCCTCTTCCAGGAAGTCAGTGAGAGGATGAATTACAAAAGATGTACAAAATTCAAGGTTGACTAGGCCAAAGTGACCCAGTAAGTTCCTTGAGAACTGGAACTGATCTTGTTCCCAGTCATAGCACAACGCCTGGCACACAGGAAATATGTGCTGAATGAGTGACTAGTACAGATGCCTTGAGGGATGCAGGTCCTGGTTTTTGTGTTTTTTTTAATCGGAGAGAATGCAACTGAGAACTAGATCTCTAAAAATTAGATAGGCTGACAGATCACTGAAAATGCTCTACTCTTCTTAGCCATCTCCTCTACTCCACCCCAATGCACGCATGCCAATCAAGGGTCAGAATGACCCAGATGTCCAGGGGAAGTGTGATGTGTGATGATGATGGTTGTAAAGAACACTACCACTTGAACTTACAGAAGGAAATGCCTTTCACTTAACACTGATAGACAAATGTGAATGCATACAGTTGTTACAGGCAAATCAAGTTGTAAAAACACTTAAAGATTTCTATGAGAAGTTAACTTCTCAATGACTAAAATGTGCAGTTGGGAGAAGAATTTTGGGTATTCTGGTTTTCCAATGTTTGTTTTAAAAAACTTTTTGCTTTTTAAGTGAGCTTGCAATATTCTAATTAGCTTTGGGGTGATATACTCTATAATATTTAGTTTAAAATGATTGGAACCCTGAATCTAATTTATTCAGATGCCTTCCCTTTGAGCTCACCAGAAATGTATTGATAAATAGCCATTCTTCCACTTACAGACACGTTTTTACTTTTAATTCAATGAAGAACTACTTCCTCTGATTAGCTGGTATAACTAACTCACATTAGAAAACAAAATGTGGAGAAGGACAAATCTTTGACTTCTCCCAAATTTTTTAAAAAGTATATGCAGAAAATGGAGAAGTCATGGACTTTACATGCAGGGTGGAGTATTTGCAGTGCTGCCAAATATGAGGGTGGTCCTAGGGAGGTTTATTGGTTTCTCTGCCCACTCCTAACTGTGATGGAAATAGAAACCTCTGCCTCATCATAAAAGGACATGATTTAAGAAATCTCCCTCTGGTCATAGAAAGATAACATAGAAGAGATTCTAATTAATTACTGAGCAAAAGCTTCCCTGAGCGACTGGGAATTGTTTCTTCAAGGAAGTGTCACCCAACAGTCCAAGGGTGTTCACAGATGAGGTAGTTGTTATTTGTATTTGCACATCCTGAGGGTATGAACCACACATCCATTTGCTTAAAAACACACCACGTGCACTCTTCACAGAGCTGGTAAGCAATAACACTGTCTGAAGACATGCTCAGAACTTTCTTTGAACATCTTTTTAATATTGACTGTGACCAGGCTGGGGAGGGCTGGTATCTCTCTAGGCATTGCTTCTGCTCCAGATAGAGATCTAATTTTAGTAAGTGCCTGCTCAAAAGTCAACCATAGCTATTTCCTTGAGGGAAAAAACAGGGTGAATACAGCTGTAAAAGCATATTCCTTTATGACTGAATTTCTCCTTTAAAAGTAAGGCCTTGCAGGAAATGGACTTCAGCTATGAGCACACAGCAGCAGTTCAGTTGGTTTACCTAACCCAGGAACAGATACATTTGGTCAGAATTCTCTGACAAATATATTTCAGGGGTCAAAAGCACTGCCCTAGTGTTTACTGCCTTTTAGTGGCCTCCATTTTGAAGAAATTTCCACGTATATAAAACAAATCTTGGTACTTTACCGATCTATGTATTTGATATTGCTTAGTGCGATGACATTCTTCATAGGAGACTGTGGTTGAGAAGATAGCTGTGATGGAATATCTCTAGAATAACCACCCTTTTCTCAATATAAACATGAACGAAAAGCATTCTATCAACTTCTTACTATAGTCTAGGGGCAAAAAATATGGACAAACTCTGTATTTTTGTCATTTCCTACTACCTTTGAGATAGTACTGAAAGTTTGGAAATGTGCCTTTTATTATTGTTTTACTTTGAAAGCAGAACAGAACTTTAGTTCTAGAAGGGTGCTCATTTGACAGACAGGAAAACAGACTCTGAGGGTCATTTGCTCCAAGGCACACAGTTGCTAGTGACAGCACCAGGGCAGGACATGTGTTCCTGGTATCTAGCTGCAGACCACCTTCCTCCAGCTATCGGGCTGCTCTCTGGGACCCATCTCAGGCAGTGTGGTCTGCTTAATGCATGTCAAAGCCATACATTTCTGACAAACCAAGTGTTTAGAAAGTCATTCTTTTTAGTTAGCCTTCTGTCTTCTTCTGATGCTCTAGAAGGACGCTTGCCCACCTGCCCTACCCCCTCATTAAAAAAAAAAAAATTCTAGATTTCTGCCAGAGTAATAAAAGAAGAAAAATAAATCCAATGAATGGGTGTTCTAACTCTAAGATGTTTTAAATTACTTTAGGAGCTCACCACAAAACCTGTAATAAAAGAGGTGAAAGGAAATACTCAGTATTAAGTAAATGGCCCAAAACATTTTTCCAAATATTCTCATTCATGGGAAAAAAAATAAGCTATAAATATTTTTGATTTCTAAAAGCCAAATTTAATAAATTAATAAATGCATGCCAGATAAAAATTCAAAATTACAACTGAAAACCAGTAATAATTTAACAGAAAATGCTCTGTGTTGTACATTTTTTATTGGTATGGATAACTTATTAAAGTAACAAATCTGAAGACATATTTTACTTTTGCTGGAAAGAAAGTACTATGTTAGAGAAGACCCAAGAGAAACCAGAAATAAACCATTGCAATAAACAGGCCTATGATATAGTCTATGGTAATGCAACAGCCAGAGGCGCTATTTGTCCATTTGTGTATGCATGTTTGTACAAGCATCAGAAACCAAGGACATAGACCCCCAAAGCAAAGTCACAACAGGTTTACTCTGTGAAACATGCTGATTACAACCACAGACTGCCCAGGACAAGAGGTGGCATGGGTGCAGGTTTGTTGTTTCCTTTGTATGGGGTTTCTTTGCCAAGTAGGGGGCTAATCATGCAATAGCTGGAGTTTCTCTTAACATGATAAACACCCAGGATTACTAGAACCGGAAAGCGTGTGTTCACTGTTTTACAAGGACAGCTGAGCAATGCTACAAAAACAACAGAAAGTTCCTTCATTTTTATCTGGTTATATGCCCAAATCGCTAACCAAGAAATAATTCAGCTACAGGAGCCAATTAAATTACTATAAAACACTCCTTCATCTGTAAAACATTTCTTTTCCCCTCAAATAAAAAACTTAAAATAAAATGTCTTCATTTTTGATAAGCAGCTCCACCACCAGTCTCTGATATCGTATATCATTCAATGCAGCCATTGCGTCTAGTTCTGGAGATCTCATAAGAGTTGGGCCAAAAACAATTCCAAGGTTCTCTGCATTCATAAGATTCTCCTTTTCATGAAGGGTCACTCTGAAAAGTACAAGTAAAGGAATAAATAATTTGTAAGCCCTAAGGTTCTTCACTATGCTTGAGCACTAAAACAAAAACAAGACGCACTATAAAGGTTTGTGCTCACTTATCAATTCTTCCACTAGGTTGCTTCTCTGGACTTCTCCATAACTTCAAAGTACTGACTTTACTTAAAGTAAATTATGTTGATAATTTATGCTTCTGGTGATCACTGAGGCTTAAGCCTGAGTTAATACATTAGACTGTGTGGGTTCAGTTCTATGTGTGGGTTCTCTTGCCACAGTCTATAGCTGCAGGCACGTTTGCAAATAGTAGAGAAGGGACTGGGTCGCCTTGATCGCTTGCCACAGCCTTTAGCTGCAGTTACGTCTGCAAATGGTAGAGAAGGGACTGGGTCACCCTGATTGCTCCATCTGCCCGCCCTCCACGTTGGATATCTTGTTTCCAAGATATTTTTGCAAGCTGAACAGTTTACTGAGTGTCTAGGGAGAGAATAAGTGATAGTAATAGGAAATGGGCTCCGGGTAAGCAACATCGTCAGGGAGTATAAGTGTTTATATTCTTTTTATGATTATAGCAATAGCATAGAGACTATAATTTGAGAGTCATTCCCTTATTTTAGTGTGGAGTACTTAATTACATCCAAATACAAAGCAAACTAGAATTTACAAGTGAAGCTGTAAGCATATTAAACAAAGGTTTTAACTTGTGATTTTTAAAGAGGGAAAACATAAATATCTATGAATGACTAAAATATCATTTCTGGATAACTCATGTCTTCAGGCATATGAAATTTTTTGTTTCTGATTGGTTTTATATTTTGAAACCCTAAAACCATTAAAACTTGGTCATATAATTTTGAAAACTCTGCTTCAACTGGTAAGAGATCAAGGATGACTGAGCAAGAAAATAAAGCTACATCACTATCAATCACTTGAACACATTAAACCCAAATGAACTGAAATATTTTATTTCCTTTCCTCACTTTATCCTTTCCTTTACTTCATCACCTTTTAGCACTGGCAACATTAACTCAATAATCTAAAATCTCATCACCAAGTCTGAAGTGCTTATTTTGGAGCAAGAAGATAAGAAGAGTGAACTGCTTTGCAAGTTGCTTTATTATGCTCATGTCTTTACAGCTTTAACACTTTCCCTTTCCACAAAAATTAATGCATGTCCACAGCAGAATATTGGTAGTTCTAGCATATATGCAAACATATACTTGAACTGAAAATACGTTTACATCAGAATCAGGTCTGCATTCGGCATTGTAGTGCAGAATATTTTTAGCATTCCTTCTCAACTAGTGCAATTTCACACAAGACAACAGTATAAGTATGCGTTTACTTATTCATTTAACAGATCATTTGTCCTTTCTTTAACCTTTCATTTCATTTTGTTCTTAAAATCTGGATGCAGTACAAGTGTAAGTCTCAAAGTCTGTAACTTGCCTCTTTAGATGAGCCATGAGGTACCGGAGGGTTTCGCAGTGAGCAGGTGGCAGTAGTTTCAGTGCTTCATGAAGTGTTTCCAATTGCTCATCAGGATCCATAATTTCTAAAATAGCAAGTTGAATACCAAGAAGAAAAGCTTTAACAGAAAACTGATACAAATGGTTCACTGAATTCTATTCTGTGTGGTAAAATCTTCTAAAACTGGTTAAAAAAAAAAAAAAACGCTTTCTCACAGATCCTTGCCCACGGCTTTGGAAAATGTTTTTAAGGTTCAAGCCACAGATTTCCAAAGCCTCTGATATAGTTTGGATATGTTTGTTCCCCCAAAACATGTTGAAATCTGATCCTCAATGTGGCAGTGTTAGGAGGGAGAACGTTTTAATGGATGGGGCCTATGAGGAGGTATTTGAGCCATGCGGGGGGGAGGTGTTCCTCATGAATAGATTATTGCCCTCCCTGCTATTAGTAGTTCCCACAAGAG